CAGTATTTTTTTTTCAGTTTTTTAAATTACAAAGTAATAAAAAGCTTTGCTCTTTAATTAAAAAAAGAAAAAGAAAAAGAAAAAAAGGGGAAAAAGAGGTAAATAAATTAGGAAATACACACACGGAGAAAACAAACAAAAATAAAGTAAAACTGGGTGTTAACTAGGAGGGGTGGATAAATCCAGTGCCCAGCCCTGACCCCAGGCTCCTCCTCCGAGAGAGAGAGAGAGAGAGAGAGAGAGAGAGAGAGACAGGCAGAACACGGGGAGGGTAGGGTGCCAAGGTGAGTGTCAGGACTGGAGAATTAATTTATAACCCAGGAGCCGGATGCTTTCTGGAAGTAGTCTCCACGGATTCTGCCCTAAGACCAGGGAAAGGGGATGGGGCTGCCACGGGCTGCTGATAGTCTCGGGGGTTGGTAGTGGCAAGGACCCTCTGTGCTCTTCTCGAGGGCCATGGAAGTCACTGCCTACCCCTGTGTCCTTGTTAGGAGGATGAGAACCCAAAAAAGTCCGCCTGGCAGGCGGGGCGAGGCACCTGCTGTCCTGGGAGCTTCACATACAGACACACACGCACACAAGGAATCTCAGCCCCCCCCACCTCGCCACCCATTCCTCAAAGTCTTCTTGGAGAGGCAAAGAAGAGACCCAGACGTTCAGGGGACACTGGAAAAAGCCCAACACAGAAATTCGGCCACAGTCATCTCGGGGCAGTAGGAGCTGTGCCTGTCTCCTGGGGTCCTGAGGCTCAAGAGCCCCCAGTGGGATCTGCCCCCGACCAACCACACCATTCCCCCGGCTCCTCAGGCCACCTCTTGATGGCACCTGAGGACCAGCTGCGTCTCCAACACAGGGACAGCCCCTCCCGGCCGGTGCCCGCGTGGGCTGGGGCGGGGCCGTGGCGTCTGGCGAGCGTTTGGCAGCCTGAAGATTGTGGACAGCGGTAAACGCGTAGGGACAAGAATCCTCTGTGCTGAAGGCATCCTATCTTCTTGCCATTGGCAAAAAAAAAAAAAAGAAGAAGAAGAAAAAAAAGAAAAGCAAAGAAAAAGAAAAAAAAGAAAAGAAAATCCATCGTCGGTTTTATGCTGGGTTTTTTTCTTTTTGTTCTTTTGAGTGGTTTTTTCCCCCATCTTTTTGTTGTTGTTGTTTTTTAAAAGAAAATACAGTGAAGACACTAGAAGGGAGAGAGAAGACAGATCAGGTGCATGTGTGCCTCTGGCCACCCATCCGCCAGACCACCTGCAGTCCCCACGCTCCTGTCCCGAGGCTTTGAGCTGGTCCCTCTCCAGGGACATAGTGGGTGCTCCATTTTCATGGGAAGAACAAAATCTCTCTCCCTCCTCTGTCCTCCCGGTGAGCAGCCATACGTCCACCCCTCTCTGCCACGGAAGGACTGGTTCCCGGACCTGACAGCTGGTGAAGGCGAGCCCTGTTTCACACCCCGGCTCTATGTGTGGAATGAATTTCTGCAAAGCACCTCACGCTCAGGATGTCCTGGTGTGAGGCCAAGCCGGTGAAGCCCCTGCCATGGGAGCTCAGACATTTCCCTATTCCCCAGGGAGCTCAGACATTTGCCCCCCCCCGCCCCCGCCCCACAGACCCCCCGAGAACATCTACCACCTCTGCTTCCCCAAGCCAGGCCCCAGAAGAGAGACCTGCTGTACAGCACCTCAGGCCCACATGTGGCCATGGAAGTCCCTTCGAGATTCACGCTGGCCACTCTGAAGGCCACCAGGGCCTTCTCTTACAGCTGATAAACTCCCAAGTACATGACCCTATTCTAAGTGCTAACAGCCCAGGGGCTGAGGCAGGACTAAAGGCCTGGGGGAGGTCAGGGTGTGGGCCCCGGGACTGTCTCTGCTAAGAACTAACTCTGCAGACTATTTTAAGGATGGAAGACTGGTCTGAGGGCAGAGGAAGGGTTCTTCCAGCAGCAATTAGCTGGTATGGGCTAGGCTGAGTCAAGTAGCTCTGAGGTGAATTCTCTCAAGAGCTGTTGATTTGGGGTGGAATGAATTTCCCTATCACTCCACAACACACACTCCTCTCCTCCCGGAGCCATGGGTGTTTCTAGACCTGGCTGGGCTGCGTCTGCAGCACTGTTGACTCACCTAAGCAAATACTGGTCCGATGGTGGCTCTTCCTCACTTCCCGAGATGGTCAAATGGCACGCTTGTCTTTGGGAGGAGGCACAAAGGTAGAGAGGGGATAAGCTGCTAATGATGCAGTCTAGCAAGTCTCCCCCTACCGTGGAGCTCTGCGCCCACCCCCACCGCCCCTGCAGCCAAGGGAAGGGGGTGTGTGTGACCTCAATGACCCTAGAAGGCAGCTGCTTCGTAGACAAGAACATTGCCCAGAGAGGCAAAGTAGCTGCTCCGGGCCACACATACGTCAGGGCCCCCAGACTCCCAGCTCGTGGCCCGTCCCGAGGCTCACCCACCGCAAGCAAAAGGACCAAAGCAGGTCTCCTGCCCGCCTCTGCCAAGACACCTTCCCTGGGCAAACCACAGACTCCCCCTTCCCAACTTTCCTAGTCTAAATGTGGTCCCAAGTGGGGCCACCAGCAGAATCTGCCCATCCCTCCATCCTGTGCTGACCTGACCGGGCCCCGAGGGGGACTTCATGATGGCCCGGACCACGAGCCCCTCCTCCGGGAGCTCCCTGCTGCCCACCCGGACTGGGCCCCGGTCCCGAAGGCAGGATCCCAGCACCACCACCTGCTGGGGCAAGCGACTTCCCTGAGCCTCAGTTTCTACTTCGCTCACTGGGGCTAAGCCAACCTCAGGAGATTAAAAGAAGCCAAGGCCCTGCTCAACAAAAGGGGCCGCTCCAAGGTTATCGGAGAGGCGAGAAGAGAAGTGCCAGCCCGGACTCCCTCCAGGCCATGGCCCCTGGGCACAGTGGTGAGGCATGGGAGGGCTGGAGTGAGTGCAGCTCACCTGTGAGGCTGAAATCCGGGAGACCTCTTGCCGCCCAGTGAGGTCGGAGGATGAGACGTTGGCAGGCGCACCCCTGTGTAGCCTCATGCTCACCTTCCTCTCTCTGTCGACTCGTGAGATCGCTCTGGGAGAAGTATTGCCTAGAGGGTGAAAAGCAGGGGGAGGCCACCCTCAGTGTCCGGGTCCCCGGCTGCCCTGGCCCCCCCTCGGGCCCAGCCCACTGCGCAAGGTGCCCGCTCACCAGCTTGCTGGATGCGGGAGGCTGGGGTGGAAGCCACAGGCTCGGCGGCACTGCGGAGCCGGTTGGCGGTGGCCCCCGTGGGTGGGCCAGGGGGCAGGGCCCGGGTTGCGGATCCCCGGAGCTGTCCCATCCTCTCCTCGCGCTCGTGTTCTCGCCGCTCCCGGTCCACGTCCTCGGGGTTCCGGGCTGCGCCCTGTGGGGACGAGATGAGACCTGGTCAGGCCTGTGAGGTCATGGTGCTCGGAGAGCCAGCATTCCCGCAGCGCAGAGCGTGGGGAAAGAGGCCGGGTGGGCACCTGGGGAAGATGCAGCTCAGAAACCCTCTGGTCCAACCTCCTCCCCACAAGGCAGGAAGCCCGAGATGCCTGGAAATGACCCCCAATCACACAGTACAGAGAAACAAAGCCACACAACCACCCGGAGGAAGGAGGAAGCTGGGTCTGAGGAGCAGGGCGAGGTCACTCTGCCCTGGTCTCATGGGGCTGAGGCAGAGCTGGGAGGGCTAACGCCCCAGAATGTCCAAGGGCACTCCTTGGCCCTCCCAACCTGGGCCCCTACTGTGTTCCGAAGCCCTCAGCCCCTCAAAGTTTCCAAACAAGCAGGGCAGGTGTTCAGAGATCCAGAGAAAGAGGAACAGGCTAGCTAAAAGGCAAGGCCAGCGTTTGAACCAGGGCACCGGCCAGGGGATTTGTCAAAGGCTGTTCTTCCCCTGTCCCTGGACCGGGCAATGACTTCTGGCAGGTGCTGTGGGGGAGGCCCGGGGACTCACACAGATGCTGCCGGCCCTGGGACAAGACAGGAGCTCAGGGGGAGCTCGAGGAAGAATGGGCTAGATGCCCTGTGGAGGAAAAAGAGGTCCAACAGGCAGGCTGGGGCGGAAGGGTTCCGTGAGCCCCCAGGGCCTGCCCTTCAGCCACTGCCACCCCAGTGCAGGAGGAAAGGAGAAAGGCTCAGAGAGAGGAGCATGGCATGGGAGCGGCACCTGGCCGCATTACCTAGTTGGTCCCGGGGTCGTCCACAGGGAAGGGCAGGGGGCTGGCATGAGGGGGGCCGCATCTGTGGAGGAGAGAGCTGCAGGCTGAGTGGGGGGCCTGTTCACGGGCCATGGGGTGCAGACTCCTGCAACCCTGTCTCTCTCCCAGGGACCTGGCCAAGAAGGCCCTGCTGTCCTTGGGGAATGAGGGCTGGGGGCGGCCCCTGCCTTTAAGCAACTCCAGGAGATAGGGAGTGGGGATCAGAATGATCCCTGAATCCTAGTGAGGAATCGAGGCCCGAGGAGCCCTCATGACCCTGTGTGGGGTCACACAGCTCAGGGCAGGGCCAGGGTCTGAATCCAGGCCTCTGTCACCCAATCCTACTCTGTACCCCCAGAGGACTTAGGAGGGACGCACATCCCCAGCCTTCCCACCCACAAGCCTGTCTGGGCAGGCCTGGAACCGCCAGGGCGCTAGGTCCTGACTCCAGTACCACCTCCCCCCAGTCCACGCCCCCGGCCCCGGGCTCCCACTCGGTGATAGGACGGCAGAGAGCATCTCAGCCAGAAGCAGAGCAGGCCTGTGTTAAGAGCTGCAGCTCCGCTCAGGAAACCTGCGGGCCGGGCAGGGACGAGCTCATCCCCGGCCTGGGCCAACTGAGGCTGGTGAAGCCAAGGGGTCTGCTCAGAGGAGTACAGCCCTGGGCTGAGCGAGTGCGCAGAGGGCTGGGGCCCCTGCCCCTGGTGACCCCAGCAGGCTCGGGTCAAGGCCAACCCCAGAGCAGGAGGAGCTACTCTCCACGTTTCCATCCAACCAGTGACGCCTCAAGAATTGCACACCAGGGAGGTTTCTTGGCTTTTATTTGCCCACAGAGAACACAAAAGGTCAACATCAAAGTCACACAAGCAACCAGCCCTGTTGTGCGGACCCCTGTCCTTGGCTATACCGAGTCTCCTCCTGGCCTGCTGGTTGGACCGCGGAACACAGTGGCTCCGTGTGCTGACGGCAACGTCCCAGGCTCCGGGGATCCAGGGATTCTGGGGCCCTGATGCTACACGGGGTGGCCACTTCAAGGACAGACGCTCTCAGTCAGGGGTGGGATCCTTCCCACAGGAGTCCGTAGCCCTTGGTGCCCAGCATGGTGTCCAGTCCATAGATAAGTGCTGGTAATGGCACCAGAGGCCTGGCCTTGGGGTGAAGACACGGAAGGTCCCCATTGCATGTCTGCAGATGCTTCCGCCAACAGGCAGGTGGAGATGGTGGAGTTCACCGTGGTGGTGATGGGGTCAAAGGCGCCCAGTGATCCAGTCCAGGCCCTCAGGTCAGAGATCGGTGCAGAATAAGGCTGTGGGTACCTCTGCTCAGCTTCTGACTCTAGAGCCTGCCTCAAAGGGGACCCCAGGAAGGGGTCAGGGTGCCAGCAATGGGCAGGGAGGGTGCTCGTGGCCTGGCTTGAGATGAGATCTTGTCAGCTGGATGGTTCCACGAGAGGTTCTGTAAGGAGCCATCTAGAGGAGCACTGTCCCACAGAACTTTCTGTGATGATGGAAATGTTCACGTCTGCCTCGTTGGACAGGAAAGCCACTGACCAGCCACATGTGGCTCCTGACAACTTGAAACGTAGCAAATGTGACTGAGGAGCTACATTTTCAGCTCTGATTAATTTTAATTAATTAAAAATTAGCCACACGTAGGCAGTGGCTGCTACCATATTGCATGGTGCAAGCCTTGACAACATAAAACCCATTCTTGGAGCTACACTGAGCGGAAGGGCCAGGCCCATCCCTGAAGCCGACCCAGGGATGACTTTCTACACGAATGAGTGAGTGCCCGGTGTCCAGATGCCCTGAGCAACGAATGCCCTTTGGCGAGAAGATCTGGCCCTTGGCCCTCGGCCACACTCCCACCTGGAAGGTCTGGGGTGCAAGGTGCCCCACTGCCCATCGCCCACCCCCACCCCTCGAGTCCCCTGGCCCGTGGGACCGCGGCTCTCCGCCCGACCTCTGTCGAACTCCTTAGGGAACGGTACCCAGCGCTGACCCCCACGTCCAGGAGAATAAGCCCTCGGGTCCTGGGCATCTGACGTCCGCCACGAAAGGAGAGGCACACCAGCATGAAGCGCGGTACAGGTGAGGGGCGTTTAATGAGTTCAAGTTCAATACAGAGGCCACCGTCGGGGTCTTGCTGAAGCCGCTCCCGGTGCCCGTTCCCACCAGGCCCTCCAGGGCAGCGAACATCGTCCCTCCTTCAGGCTCGGTTCATCAGGCAGCTGATTCATCCCCAAGAATCTCACGGCAGGGCCTTCACCACTCCCTCTCCACTGCACCCCACCAGGCCAAGGGACACCTCCTCAGGCCTGGCCCCGATGGGCTCAGACACACCTGGTGACGTCAGAACTGGGGCCCCGGAGTCCAGACCACAGGCCAGTAGTTTTGGGGGGGCAGCTCCTCCACCTCCTCCAGGGGCCTATCTGGAGGGCCCTGGGTGCCCAGGGGCGCCGGGCACCTGGAAGGGACAGAGAGCACAGCAGAGGCTCAGCCTCTTGTGCTCGCCCAGCCAAGTGGTAAATCTTGGAAAGGCCGGGCCTCGGAGGGTCCTTACCAGTATGAGGGTGAGTACGTGGGCCCGGCACAGGGACAGGGGCGGGGGCAGGGCAGCGTGATAGCTTCGTTGTCACGGGGCTGAGCCTGGCCCGAGGAAGCCCCCTTTTCCAGAAGAGACGTGAAACAAGACACACGATTTCACAGATTCCGGAGCTCCGGGCACCGCTGACGAACGCTTCTCCCCACCCCACCCCCCCAAGACCCTTAAAAGAGGGAGACAGAACAACCGCCTAGCAAGACCCAGGGTCCCATGACCAGGAAGAAAGAAACCACAATGAATGGGTCCAGGCTGGCCAGAGGGGCCACGGTGAAGGCAGCCGCCTGGGACGTGCAGAACAACAAGAGCAGGGTGGTGTAGGCGACGATCAGGACGGCCGGGGGGCCCGCCAGCGCCATCCACGCGCCACCGAGGGCACCTAGGAGGGACTCAAGGCCCGGCCAGGTCCTCTTGGGCCTGGCGGGAGGTGGTGCCCCCCTGCCCCACTGCCCAGAGCGGCACGCGCGGTCAGCACAGATGAGGCTGGAGTGGGGGGGCCGCGGGGACTCCGGGAGCCCAGCGAGGTCGCTGGCACTGTCCAGCTCATAGCCTCCACTTTTCGGGAGCCCCGCCCGCCACAGGGTCACTTTGGCCTTAAGAGTCGGGGCCTTCCCCGTCCAGTCCCCCAAGCCCGCCTTGGCCTCCAGGTGACTCACGAATTTGAGCATGTTCCAGTCGAAGACGTAGTCGTAGGAGAAGCCCTGCCGGTGGAAGAGGTTACGGAAGAGCTGACGCAGGTATGAGTAGTCAGGCTTGTCATCGAACCGCAGGGAGCGGCAGAAGTTGAGGTATGTGGAGAACTCGGCTGGCGGGGGTCACAGAAAAGGCTGCCGTGAGGCCCAGGCTCCCCGGGCCCCACCCCCGCAGCCCGGGTTGTCCTGCCCACCCGCTGTCCCTCCAAACGCTTTCAATCGAGGAGGGGACAAGAGGACGGCAGAGCAGAGCGACGGTCCTCCTCACAGCGCTAAAACCCTCGCGAGCCAGTGAATAGGCCCTTGAAGACTCGACTAGACCCGAGAGCTGGGAATTAGGAACAAGCGCCCCCTCACAGTAAGGAGCACCGCAGGGCCTCAGGCCACCGCTCTACCTGCTCTTGCCAATCACTCTGGGGACCAGGCATGCAGACGGCAGATCAAGAGCTGCCGTAAGTTCCAAAGGACAGTCAAGGGCCCAGTGGGAACTCCCAACAGGACCAAAGCCACAGAAGGCTAACTGTGACCCAACGTGACCAAACACAGAAGACGGAAGACACAGAAGGCATCTCCTCCTCCGGAAAGCGGGGGCGGGGAGAGCCCTTGTGAGCTAACAGCAAATGTATACTGGCCTCTGCCATTCCTAAAACCCCTGTAAATTCCTAAATGCTAAGAGCGCTAGGAGCATCTTTTGTTCCGATGTGGTGACTCCTAATGGCCCCTGGATGGGTGGGGGCTGGTCACCATCAAGACCAAGCCATGCTTAGAAGCTTAGCAGCTTAGAATTTTCAGCGCCCCACCCCCAAACACCTCTCTAGGAGGGAGAGAGGCTGGAAATAGAGTTAGTACTCGCTTATGTCTACACAAAGAAGCCTCCATAAAAATCCCAACAGTACGGGGTTTGGAGAGCTTCCAGATTGGTGAACTCCCCATAGAGGAGGGTGACACACCCCAGCTCCATAGGGACAGAAGCCCCTGTGCTCAGGCCCTTCCTTCCCAGACCTCACGCTATGTATCTCTTCGTCTGGCTATTCATCCACATCCTTTATCGTAGCCTTTAGTAAAGGGGTACGCAAAATCAGTTTCCCTGAATCCTGTGAGCTGCTCTAGCGAATTCATCCCAGCTTAGGAGCGGGGCGCGGGAACCTCAGACTCACAGACGGCCGGTCAGAGCCCGGGCGGCAAGCCGGACTCGTGACCGGCGTCGGAGGCAGGGACGGGGGCAGTCTTGTGGGATCGGGCCCCGGACCAGTGGGATCTCCCGCCGTCTCCAGGCAGATGGTATCAAAATGGAGTCAAGCTAGAGGACACCCAACAGGTGTCACAGAGAACTGCCTGGTGGGGGGCAACGCCCCACACGTGCGGTGAGGAGAAGCTTCAGAGGCTCACAGGGCGAGGAAGAACGAGCTTTTCCTAATATGCCGCCCTCGCGGGACGAAGCAGTGACAGCCCGGGACTAAGGCTGTGTGGCCTTGTGTTCCGCTCAGAGGGGCCGCCTCCCCCGCGGGGCTACTCACAGGGGTAGCCTTTGCAGAGGACCTCGATGGGTGTCGACATCTTCTTCTCACTGATGCGCTCGTACTTCTGGCGCTTGGTGGCCGCTTTGAGGCCCTGCCAGGGCAGGGAGCCCAGGTTGAAGTACATGAGCACGTAGCCCAGGCTCTCCAGGTCGTCTCGGCGGCTTTGCTCTGCACGGAGTCGAGGACAGGGTGAGGGGCAGGGTCCACCGGGGCTCCTGGCCAACAGAGGCCCCCCTCCTCCAGGACACGCCCCCCACCCCCTCACCCTGCCGCCCCGCACGCCGGCTAGCTGCAGCTCCAACACAAACACCCACGGCTCAGGGTAACCCTTCTACAGGAAAAGGCCTGGGGCCGAGCTTTTCCTACTCAATCTGGGCCTAGCTCCTCCAGCCCAGGAACCTTCTCCCTCAACAGCTTTACAGCAGGCACGCTGGTGCCCCCTTGCCAGCCCACTCTGGGGACAGGGCACAAGTGTGGCCTCAGACAGGGCCAGGGTCAAATCCGACTCTGGTACCTGCTAAGCCGCACGACCTGAAGCAACGGTGTTGCAGCTGGGAGCCCGGCGCCCCCCACTCCACCAGGCCGCTGTGGGGATGACGTCAGGCACGTTAAGGTGCTGCTACGTCACAGCTCTCCTCCTGGAGGGGAAGGCCTGACTTTGTGGCCCCAACGCGGGGAAAACATCCAGCTGCAGAAAGCCAGGGCCCTGGCCCGCAAGCCCACGGCTGCACGGGGCTCCCGGGCCTCACACTCACCGATGCCCAGGTGGGTGTTGATGGAGGCGTAGCGGGCAGTGCCAGTCAAGTTCTTGTTTTCCCGGTAGGGGATGTGCTGGTGCGTGCGGGCATCCCGGTATTTCTTGGCCAGGCCGAAGTCGATGATGTACACCAGGTTGCCCTTCTTCCCCAGCCCCATGAGGAAGTTGTCAGGTTTGACGTCCCGGTGTATGAAGTTCTTGGAGTGGATGTACTCGATACGGCTGATCTGGTGGGGGGG